GAAACCTTTCCAGGTAATGTTTAGTGAATTTTTGGCACAATGTATTAAATGGCAAGTGGGGGAAGGAATGAGATATGGGGAGCAGGAGAATGACACATATCTGACAAGCAAATATATGAGGAGCTTCACAAGAGCAAGACAAAACCATGTGACAGAAACCCACAGTATGAGAAACTGGGAGAGTAATTCATAACAGGCAGACAGGAATATACAGGTAGAGAGAATCAATAGATATTTACTTACTCACATAATGGTAAATGCTATGGAACGACTAACTGGGACTAAACATAAATAAACACTACAAAACCACAGAATAATGTGCATGGATGGCCTGCATGACATACAAAGGAAATATCATTCCGAGACAAGTGAAAGTTCCTAATTTCTACATCACCGTAAGCGCTACATTATTAACAGTGTTTATTGGGGTAAATTAGTTTTTTTGGTTTATGTATTTGGGCTGCCATTCCTTTCCATAAGACTAGAGAGATATTTATATCTACAGATATACATACAGTGAGTTACAGGCAAAGCCATGTTTGGTTTAATAAGAAATAATAAACTTAATAAATGGTGACAGATTTTTCACCACTGTCATTTCAACAAACCTTGTCCATCAGCTTTAAAAAGTTTATTATTTGGTTTTTTTTAACCAAAATTTAAAATCTGCAGTTTTCTACTACTTAGAAGATTGAGTTAATGAGACACTATAGGCACCCAGACCACTTTAGCTCATTTTAAACATTGCAGTTACAGAAAAACCATGTTTACATTGCAGCACCAAGTCTGCCTCCAGTGGCTGTCTCCCAGACAGCCACTGGAGGGGCTTTCTGGATCGACGTCCTGGTATATGACGCTGGACATGCTCACGCTCTGCATGTGGACATCTAGTGTCAGATTTTCCCCATTGGAAAGCATTGATTCAATGCTTTCCCATGGGGAAGACTAATGCGCACGCAGCATTTGCAGCGCATGCGCACTAGCGCCTGCTCGTCACGGGACGTCAGAGGGGGCGGAGCATAAGTAAATAAAGGGTTTTTAACCTTTTATATTTACCTGGAAGGGGGGCAAAGGGAGAGTGGGGCAGGAGGGGCGATAGTGCCAGGAGTTCAGCTTTTCATTCCTTGCACTATAGGATCCATTTAAAAGGGTTACTCCAAGTTCCATAACCAGTTCAGTGATTTGATGTGGTCATGGTGCCTGAAGTCTGTATGTGCAGCATACTTTGAAACACTGCACATATGGTGTTTGACCCTTCTGCTTTCAAAAGGTATAACCCCGCCTCCGGAAGAGTCAATGGGGCAACATTCTGTGCAAATTGTTTTCTGCACAGTGTGCCATTCATTGGCTGAGAGTAGTCAACTGACGCTCTCAAGCAATGAATGGCGACTGAATCAGTTTGTGTCAGCTAACAAGAAACAAGCTTTGGAACCCAGCTGGGATCCAGGTGTGAGGCCAAACCATTGCTTTACGGTTTGCCCCATTACCAAGGAACCAGACCAGTGTACTCCTGACACCATAACCACTACAGCAGGCTATAGTGGTTATGGTATATGTAAGATCTTAGTACTTATCCTATTCACATGGTAAAAGTACAAATCTCAGTCAGGAGGCTTCTATCAAAAGAAATTGTTAATTTTTTCCCAGCATATTTCCTTGAATGGGAAGACATTCTTTCCACAAGGTGAGAAAACAAACAAACAAACAAACAAACAAACAAACAAACAAACAATCTCCAACTTTCAATAGAGCTCCCATAAAAATAAAGATTATAACTATCACCAAATATATAGTGCCACGGTTTACAAAAAATATAGTTTTGTTTTTTTGCATTTTTATGCGTTAATTATTTAAACTTGGGGGGGGGATTTTTTTTTTTCTCTCTCATGTGAATGGAATAAAGTTTGAAGAACAAATAAAAATATTATTTCCTGTGTCTGTAAAGTCAATGAACTAGACATTTACTGTGCAAAAAAGTAAGAGTTTTTATAGTAAGATGTGCAAAATCTCTATAAGTGGAAATAAGTACACAGCAAGTGCAAGCAGAAATTCCAGCAGCTGATATACAATTCCTATGATTCACAGCCAACCACATAATTAGGAGTTCAGTAAAAGGCATATTCCAACGCAGACAATACACTATAAAGCAGCAATGAGTAAAATGGCAATGATAGGCTGTGAATATTGGGAACTGCTTAGGCCAGATGTTACAACCAATCACTGTTCTTCAAAACTGGACAAATGTTAAGCATAACTGAAACTTCCAGCATTATGATGGTGGCAAAGGGGCTGGGACTTGGATGTCGGAGGAGAACTGGGGAGACTGCAACCATAGCCACTACAATAGTTCACAGTTGTTATGGTGCCAAGAGTATTGCTTTTATTACCAAAATCAATTCTCTATAATACCTTATTTGGTGAATATCTCCGTTTTTTTTCTCACCTTGACTATTCTAATAACCTTTAACATACAACTTAGTCACTGATGAATGTGAGCATTTTCCACTAAACTATGAATATACAGGACTTAGAAGTAATATTTAAATTTTAGTCCTTAGTGTCTGCATTGGAAAAAACAAACCTCAAAATCAGTTATGTTTTCAGTTTTGCGATGTTGGGCTAGGATTTACAAATCACTTTGAATTTCCTACAATTTACATTTACAGACATATTTACTAAAGTAAGTATTCAAAGGGAATTTCAAAAGCAACCTCGAAATGCCAAACTCTGTATGTGAAAAACCCTGTAAATCACTGCTATCAGATGAAGTAATCTGGATAATGGTACAATACAAGAATGTTTACATTGGTTCTCAATTCACCACAACTCACTGTTCGATGAATAAACCATATACAGTATTTTATAACACATTTCATTTTGATTAGTATTAAATCCCATAAGGGCAAACAATCTGGTCCTTCAAGTCCCCATTCAGAACAAGAATACCCTCTTTAGACATGGCAAGGCTCAATAATAGTATGTCACTAAGGACTATGTTGTTAAACAGATTCCTATATGACTTGCTGATCATTTTTAAAAGAACACTATTTTCCCATGTTTTCATTTCCTTTGAGATTATATAATCACTGGTGACACTCACCCTCCCCATTTGATGGGGGTATTATGGTGAATTTGTCACTGTCCAATTCCTAATATTTCTGTTGTGTTTTCTATAAAATAGAATTAAACCCAAACAAGAAAAATTAAAGCTAACAATGGCTGCATGGGACACACCTGGATTAATGAAATCTACAGACACATAGAATAAATCAGTTCTTCACTATTTAAATTTACTATGACAGAAAGTGAAAAGAAATCACAAATTCTAAAAAATAATAAAAATAATAATAATAATGGTTTTACATTTATATATTTGCATTGAAAATGTTTGGAATTTCAAGTTACTTCCTGCTTCTCTGTAACACTCAGTGATACAATGTTGCAATACATAAACCATCACTTCTAAGAGGAGCAAGTTGGGTGGGATCGCCTTATGCAGAAGCTACACCTTAGGGGCTGTAGGTTTAAAAAATAAAAAAAGGCCCCTTCAAGACCCAGCTCAGTGTCAGGGGCTCCTGTTTCTCTAAACTGTGCTCTGCACATACCTCAATCCCAGCTCTTTCCAATCACTCCAACACTGTAGCAGCTGCACTTTGCATGGTGTGTTGTTTTTTTAAAACGAGCTTTATTGAAAAGTAACAAAATGCACACTCACAGGAGACGTCGAAGGAATTTCACAAGGTAAACATACAGGTTGAGGGAGTAGGGAGTGGATTGGAAGAACAGGAAGTGTGTGTTTGTGCTAAGCCTGAACCCAGCCTGTTTCTCTGGGAGTGTAATGTGCTGAATCTTGTCAATACTCTAAAACAGCTGGTGAAAATCGATTACTGTATTAAGTAAACATTTTATTTTTGTTCGTTTTTTTTTTTACTAGAATGCAAATCTGGAAATGTTTAAGGTTTGTATTCACTGAATTCCAAAATCCCATTGTCTGGGTTAGTCAAAATTATTTTTCTGGAAGCATTCACACTAAATAAACTAAATATCTATACAGTTAACAAAATGTACATAGTTTGCGATACAGCCTCCAAATTAAGGAGAATGTAGACCAGATTTAAAGGGACACTCCATGCACCCAGACCACTTCTGCCCATTGGAGTGGTCTGGGTGCCAACTCCCACTACCCTTAACCTTGCAAGTGTAATTACTGCAGTTTTCATAAACTGCAATATTTACCTTGCAGGGTTAAGTCCTCCTCTAGTGGCTGTCTATGAGACAGCCACTAGAGTAGACTTCCGTGTTCATAGAACGCGAAACGTGGTTTAAAACGATGCTGGACGTCCTCACGCTATGTGAGGACCTCCAGCGTCGCTGAAATCCCTATAGGAAAGCATTGTATAATGCTTACCTGTGGGGAGGTCTAGTGCACGGGAGGGAGAGGGGCACTAGAGGGTCCTGCAGTGCCAGGAAAACTAAAATGTTTTCCTGGCACTGGAGAATCCCTTTAAAGGGACACTAATAGGCACCCAGAGCACTCATTCAGGTCACTTAACCCTGCAATTGTAATATTGCAGTTATTGATAAACTGCAATAATTACCTTGGAGGGTTAACTCCACCTCACGCTTTGAATAAGGTCATCCAGTGTCCCCAAAAACCCCATAGGAAAGTACTATGCAATGCTATCCTATGGTGGAAGTTCTAATGCCAGCGAGGCACTTTTGTTCTCCTGACAATAGAGGAAGAGCCTGAACCAGCGCCTAGGGACAGGTAAGTGACCGAAGGGTGATTATGTGACATTTTGCCATTCTATCACATATGTGGACTTTAGTGAAGAAACTCTTTAAAGCTTGTACTTATGGCAGCCAGATCCACCATGGTTTACTGGACACATATCACCAATTCATGTTGCAGAAATCAAATGCTACTGGAGGTGGTCAATCTACCAGGAGCTCTGCAGTATATGAATTATGTATACACTTTATATGTGCTTCCTACCAACATGAATGAAGGGTTGGAAAACAAGGTGGAACTAGCATCTACAGAAATACTCCAACCTCAAAGTGTTATGGTGAAAAGGCAGATACTGTAGTTCAGGGGTGCCCGAAACGTAGATCCCCAGACGTTGTAGAACTACAACTCCCATGTTGCTTTGAATGCCTTTGCATGCCTGTTGAATGACAAAGCATCATGGAAGCTGTAGTTTTAAAGCATCCGTGGAGCTACCCTTTTGGGCATCCCTGCTGTAGAATGTTAGGGAAGGTGTGCCCCAGTCAAACTACTAACAATTAGACTTACTTCCTCCCTTCCTGAAGAAGGATGGCACTACAATGATTATAGTTTTCAGATAGGGGGCTTTATTCCATAAACCATGAATTATGGAGAAGGAAATTGCAGATTTCAGGCTAATGTAGCTGAGCTGGAAAACCATCCATCTTGGCTATTTTGACTTATTTTGTCAATTCTGCTGGCTGGCTGGCTGAGTTGCAGCATACACCTCTTAGAGAATGGTAACTCTCTGCCCTGCACTGCTGGACTGCAGAGTGTTACATTAAACAGATTTATTGGGAAGTTTTCCAAGTCAGGAAATTAATGTCCAAGCCTTTACCTGAGCAAATAAACTTCAAAGTTCATTTCTCTTTGATTCAGCAAGAATTCATATTCCATTTTTAATTTCCCTCAATCAAAAACTGTGAAAAGACATTTTTAAAGAGAATACTAGATTCAAGCAACACACAGTTTCCTGTCAACATCTAAGCGGATATCAAATTTCAGAGACATCCTGTTTTTTTAATTCCCCGTTAAAGAGGAGCGATAATTTTATATGCTCAACTATTAGAGACGATACACTGCTGTGATATTGTAGAACTAAATAAAATTGACAGGATGATATGATGTCTGAGGAATAGAAAAGGAGAGAGAAATGTGGGTTTTGGACACAAAAACATGATTGAAGTTGCCACTTTAACAAAAACTAAACTCAGAAGGTTATTTAAAAACAAAATATATTATTTATGGATTATGCAGTAAAAAAAAAAATCAATAGACAACATAACAGGATAAATATCAAGTTGTATATGGGATAGAAATCAGTGAGTAACATAAATCAATTCCGAGAGAAGGTTAATTTGTTACATTGAAAGAACCAAATCATGTGTTTTGTTTTGTTTATTTTTGCCAAATAGTGGCAATCTTTATATGCAGTGGTGACCTGGTCAGCAGAAACAATGGACGTCTGACTTATTTCCTGTGCCTTTCTGTTTAAACCCACCTTTGATCATGCTGATATAAAAAAATATTACAACTACAGTAGAGTTTAAAGCCACTGCATATAAAGATTGCCACTATTTGGAGTAAAGGTCTTCTGGTCTGAGTGTTGTGGGGGTTACTCCCTATTAATTGGAGCTTTTCTTACCCAGAGCCAGAGTGCAACCCACATATGTGTGTATTAATAATTTTATATCTGTAATAAGGATAATCTGCACTAGATTGTGTTTATTTTTTTTACAGAATTCCTTTTGACCATTGGATTTCGGCAAAGTGCCTACAGGGTCCCTTTAATAAAGCATTTTTAAAAATTTCTTTATTTACAAATACAGGCAGACAAGTAGTACGTGCAATGACAAAGAATAGCAATATTACCATTGACATGATTATGACATATGATATCAAATATGGTATTGACATACCAAAGGAATAAGACTGTTATACCTGTATGTATATAGTAAATTAAAAGATATTTTAACAATGATTATGAATCATGTATCACTGTTACTCTTTGATTTATGAATTATGCCCCTGCAGCATCGCTTCTCAATTCTCTGCCATGTACAATATAAATCACTTTGGTTATGCATGCCATGCCTGTGACTTACACAGCCTTCCTAAACACTTCCTTTAAAGAGAGATCTAATGTTTAAACTTCCTTTATTGCACAGTGATTTTAACCCTGCAATGTAAATATTAAAAGGACAGGGACACCGCACCCAGACCACCTCACTGAGATGGTGACTACACCTTTAATCCCTGCATCAATGCACTTATCTCAGGCAAGGAGTTTCTAGGTCGCTGTTAGAAGTAGTGGTTGCGGGGTGCTGCCCGGGCAGTTCCCAGGTAAGAAGTCAAACCATTCTAAAATAATTTGACTACTTACTATGGCGGAGCAACAGCACACTCCTGACACTATAACCACTACATTGTGCTCTAGTAGTAATTGTCCTTTAAGAAAATAATTTTTTAAAATGTAATTAATTTGGCCTAAAAATTTAATTCCTTTGATAATATCTGACACTTCCCAGTTTAGTAAATAACTCTAAATAACTGTAATAAACTCAAAGCAAACTCTATGCTCTTTAATTTTGATTGAATAATTGATGCATTATCATTTAACTGCTGTCAGGAATAAGTGCTTACTATATAACTAATTTTATGTGTTATGATTTAACAACATTAAGAGTTTCCTGGAAGCTTTTTAATGGTTGCTGAAATTAAGTTTTGCTATACCATTTGCATTTTCAGTTTACCTGATCTCTTGGTGATTGGATTTCTATATACATTTGACATTTCTCTTAGTGTATAGTCCACACACTGTTAGATCAAACTAAACCAAAGACTTTGGAACTAAAGACTTTGATAGGCCAAATAATTTGAAGCTTTGTATATAGGAAGATAAACAGGACAGGCTAGGGAATGGAAGCTTTATTTTTTTGTCTCCCTCTGCATACCCCCAACAATTTTTTTGTTGGTTAAATTACACACACATGCTCACATTTATATTTACACATACAAAAAATTAATGGAAACACAGACGCACCCATGGACGCACAGACTCAATGTACTGGTTGCTCTGGTTAGAGGGGATGATCTGTGCACCCTCCTGCTGCCTGTCACAAGGGTTGGACCGCTACCCCTTCCAATTAGTAAGATTTTGCCCCCATGTTAACCTGCCTGGTTAGTGCTTCCATGTAATACTATATACAGCTGTGCTTAAAAGTTTGCATTTGGAGAATTGATAATATATGTACCATTTTTAAAGAAAACATGAGTGAGCAGGCAAAACACATTTCTTTTATTTTGTTATCAGATTCATATTCAACTGTAGGTCATAATAGAATGGCACAATCATAAAACAAAACATGGCATCAAAGAAAAAAATGAAATGACACTTGTTCAAAATTCTGCATACCCTTAGTTCTTAATACGGTGTACTGCCCCCTTAAGCCTCAATGACAGCTTGCAGTCTTTTGTAATTCTTGCAGGTAGTATAGCTAAACATTCGTCTTGGCAAGATACCTCCAGGTCATGCAAAGTCTTTGGTCGTCTTGGATGAACCGCACAGATCACCTCAGAGTGTCTCAATAATATTAAGGTCAAGAGATTGTGATGGCCACTCCAGAACCTTCACCTTTTTCTGCTGTAACCACTAAAAAGGTTAACTTGGACTTGTACTTAGGATCATTGTTATGCTGGAAAGTCTAAGAGCGTCCCATGCGCAGCCTTCGTGCAGAAGAATGCAAATTGTCTGCCAGTATTTTCTGATAACATGCTGCATTCAACTTGCCATAAATTTTCACAAGATTCCCCATGCCTACAGAGCTCACACACACCCAAAACATCAGTGAGCCACCACCATGCTTTACAGTCGGGATGGTATTCTTTTCACTAGAGGACTTGTTAACCTCTCTTCAAACATAGTGCTTATGGTTGTGACCATAAAGTTCTATTTTGGTCTCATCACTCCAAATTACAGTGTGCAGGAAGCTAATTGTAACCAGGCTTTTTTGTAGCATTGGCGCAGCAAAGGCTTCTTTCTGGCAACTCAACCATGCAGCTCATTTTTGTTCAAGTATCATTGTATTGTGCTCCTTGAAACAACCACACAGTCTTTTTCCAGAGAAGCCTGTATTTCTCCTGAGGTTACCTGTGTTTTTTTTTTCTTTGTATCCCAAACAATTTTTCTGGCAGGTGTGGCTGAAATCTTTCTTGGTCTTCCTGACCTTGGCTTAGCATCAAGAGATCCTAGAATTTCCCACTTTTTAATAAGTGATTGGACAGTACTGACTGGCATTTCAAGGATTTGAGTATCTTTTTATATTATTTTCCATCTTTTTATAAAGTTCCATTACCTTGTTTTTGACAGTTCTTTTCTGCTCCCTGTGGCTCAGTATCTAGCCTGATCAGTGCATCCACGTGAGAGCTAACAAACTCATTGACTGTTTATACACAGACACTAATTGCAATGTAAAAAGCCACAGGTGTAGGAAATGAGCCTTTAATTGCAATTTTAACCTGTGTGTTACCTTGTGTGTCTGTAACAATGCCAAACTTTCAAGGGTATGTAAACTTTTGATCAGGGCCATTTGGGTGATTTCTGTTATCATTATGAATTAAAAATTAGCCAAACAACTATGTGATAAAAAAAAGGGCTTCATATGATCACTATCCTTCAATAAAAATTTTTTTTGCATGCTTTGTCATATTTTCAAAATCAATGCCAAAATGTCATGATTTCTGCCAGGTTATGCAAACATTTGAGCACAACTGTAATATACCTTATATTCTACACTATATATACAACTTTCCTGCTTACTTCTCTATTCGGTAGCTAGTGTGACGAGATTGCATTGAATACCTGGCTGTGCAGAATAAGCTTGTTTCCAGCAATGATTTCTTTGAGATCCCAGTGTGCATCTGCAGCATTCTGTTCATGGGTAGACAGGGAGAAAACATAACCTTATTGAGCTATATTGAGCTGTATATATCATCTTACTCGCACATGAATCAGGAAATCAACCAATGGGGTGACTGCAGGCCGACTGCCATGCACACAAAGAACGAGAACCAATAGACATTACAAGGTACTAGCAAGCCTGGGCAGCCATCAGCAAGGATGAACAAACTGGGTTAACTGAGCAAGTAGCTGAGACCCATCAAGGTGAGGTGACCCTTCCATAAGTTACGATTCTGAAACAATACTGGCACCCTCTATTGCTCAACACTCACATACTGCTAATTTCAAATCATTGTCTGGGGTACTTGTATAATTTGCAAAGACTCCTTACGGTTACTGCTCCAGTCCAGTGGTCATGGGGTGCAGGGGAAGGTAAGTTATACTTACCTGAACCTGTCTGTTAAGGCCGCCTTTATTGTTTTTGTGCTTGTCCTCTTTGTTGTTTCAGTTGTCAGGAGCCCACGTGAGGTCTATTAGAATCCTGCGAGACCGTGGGATCCCCCATAGACAGAGCCTCTTTCCCTACATCCATCGCTAGTGCCAGCTGGGGAAATTACAAAACTTGATGGCAATAGGTCTGCCTTTTGTTAAAGTTTTGTCAAGTGTAGGAAATATACTAAGACAAAGTACTCCCTACTTTGTCTAATTATATTGTCTGAATTGGTTGGAATTTCAGTGACATTCCAACACAGTCAATGTGAATATATCATAAAGAGTTTACCGTTATGAAATACTTGTTTTGGAGGGGGGTGACTGTGCTTCTTTTAGATATGCTTGCTCTTTAAAATTTTATCTGAGGCCAGCTGTCCAATGCACATTCATTGATGGGCTTCTCACATTTGTAGGGCGGTTTGCTGAGCCTATGAGAAAACAGTCCACATTTGCGATCCATTCTTTTTACGAGCTAATTATAACTAATCTTGCTGCAACTGGCGCGAAAATGATCACAACATTCAGATACTATGATACACCACTCCCGCTACTAAACAGTCACTTGCTATATTTAACTTGCACGAGGGCCAGTTTACAGTTTTAGAAACAGTTTTCTTACAGTCAAAACAACTTGAATTACAGCTGTGACACTGAAGACAACACATAAGGAAAGCCGAGGGTGAAGACTTTAAAGTGAAGTATAGGCAATTTGGAGGAGATAAATATCTAACAGCCGGTGAATGTAATTCAAGAGTAGCCTAGATCTACTCTTATAGCCCATTAATGGCAGGTGTGAATGCATATTATTGCTGATTAGAAAAAAAAAAACATTTTATAAGCATTCATCAGGCAGGACAAACATGCTTCTAATTGTTTAGCCTCTCATTCTTCCAGGGAGATTTTGCCACAGCTCTGTAGTAACCTCAGAAAGCTGAAAAAGATTGACCTGTTTTAGTGTTTAATTCCTTCAGTCTGCCTTAAAGAGCCTGCATTCTTGTTTTCTGTCGCTTCCTTCTTTTCGACACATTATCATGGGAACGTAAGTGCACCTACAGTCTTCTACATAGCTTACCTACAGGACAAATAAGCATTGGGACACTGTAAGCAGCGTAACTACTACAGCTCATTATAGTAGTTATGCTACTATAAATATTTGGTTGCAGTTATCGGCCCCCCTTCCCCCTGACTTTATTTAAGTTTTGTATAGTATCATTCTATATTAAATATATACAAACATATGGTCCCCTCCCTACCTGTCACTCCATTCTAGCCATAGAGCAATACTGAGAGCAAAGACCTCAATGTGAAGAATTGAGTGACATGTTCATGTAGCTGTTTTGGATTCTGTGACTACTATAAAAGATGTCATCTTAGCATGGCAAATTTTGCAAACTTTTAGTTTCAATGCAACACTGTCACTGCCATCCAAAATGAGTATTTCATAAAGATAAAATCACTGAAATGCCAAACCAGTCAAAAAAAGAAGTAGGAAGTACTTTGTCTTTGTATAATTCCTGTTCTTGACAACCTTGACAAAAGGCAGTGCTACATAGAAACATAGAATGTGACGGCAGATAAGAACCATTCGGCCCATCTAGTCTGCCCAATTTTCTAAATACTTTCATTAGTCCCTGGCCTTATCTTCTATTTAGGATACCCTTATGCATATCCCACGCATGCTTAAACTCCTTTACTGCATTAACCTCTACCACTTCAGCTGGAAGGCTATTCCATGCATCCACTACCCTCTTAGTTATTACTTTTAAACCTTTTGTCCCTCTAATTTAAGACTATGTCCTCTTGTAGTGGTAATTTTTCTTCTTTTAAACATAGTCTCCTCTTTTACTGTGTTGATTCCCTTTATGTATATAAATGTTTCTATCTTATCCCCCCAGTCTCATTTTTCCTCCAAGCTATACATCAAGCATGTCAAACTCAAAGGCTAGCACGGGCCAAATAAACAATGTTTTAAGTTTATGTGGGCCGCAAAAAAAAAAAAAAAAAAAACCTTAAATTTTCATTGAAACGTAGGTTTATTTTGAAAAGTACAGTATGAAAAAAAAAAAACAGCACCCCCTCTTCTACTCTTCTAAATCCCAGCACACTCCTCTACTAAACTCCAGTCCCCCCTTCTATACTAAATCCCAGTCCCCCCTCTCTACTAAATCCCAGTCCTACCTCTATACTAAATCCCAGTCCCCCTCTATACTAAACCCCAGCCACTGTTTAAAAAAAAAAATACCAACACTAGCCAACAAGCAGGCTCCACTCACATTGACTCCGGAGTCCAGCCTCTGGTATACTCCAAATGGCGCCGTCCGCACGCTGTGCCAATGCGGATCCTCCCGCTACTCCTTGAAACCCTGTGATGGGTTTGTTTCTATGTTACTATGTTAAGGTGGAGCACGTTGACGTCACGTCTGAATGTGACGTGGCGTTGCGTGCCTCTGTGCACCTCCAGGTCCTCCACTGTCCAGCCACGGCCATCGCAACACTGACCAACACACACTCACCTGCGTACAAACACTCTGACAGACCCACACACTGACAGACCCACACTAACTGACAGACATACACACACACTGACAGACAAACACTTACTGACACTGACAGACACACACACACACTGATAGACACATTGACCAACACACACTCACTGACATATACACGCACACACTCACTCACTCACAGGCACACACACACTGACAGACACACATTTACACATTCTTGCACACAATCACAAATCATTTTATTTATGGTTCCCTGCCTTTGGGAGCTTGTATGGGGCCTCTCCCTTGGGTCTCCCTTCCTGCTTCTCACTGCTCCCACACGCGCGCAGTTTAGCGATGCCGGCCCAGAATTACGTCATATTCCGGCACCTGGCATCACTACAGAGGACGCGTGCCGTCAGCAACCTCTCCCCCCGGCCGCGTAAGTTTTAGCAGAGTAGGCACCTGCAATGTGGGGAAAGCAGGCGCCTACTCTGCCTTAACATGACAAACTCGCAGCTCGCTGGGATACAAAGATATTCATTGTGGGCCGCATGCGGCACGCGTGATGCAGGTTTGACATGCTTGCTATTCATGTTAAGATGATCCTTCAATCTTTCCTTGTAAGTTATATCCTGCAATCCATAAACCAGTTTAGTAGCCCTTCTTTGAACTCTCTCTAAAGCAGGGGTAGTCAACCTTTTAATACTTACCGTCCACTTTTGTATCGTTCTTGATGGTAAAATTTCCTTACCGCACACCAGTGCAATTTTATAGCGCAAGTAATTTAAAAAAAAAAAAAAAGTACTTAAATGTACCTATTTTTTCATTTTTTTTCTATATTCTATTCTACTTCTTTTTCTATGTGTGTCTATGAGGTGCTGTGTGTGTGAAGGGTGTAGTGTGTGTGTGTGTGTGTGTGTGTGTGTGAAAGAGAGGTGCAGTGTTTTTGACGGAGGCAGTGTGTGTGAGGGAGGCAGCATGTCTGTGTAGGGTGCTGTATGTGGGTGAGCGGTGCAGTGTGTGTGTGAGGGGTGCAGTGTAGTGTGTGTGAAGGGTGCTGTGTGTGAGGGTTGCTGTGCGTGTTTGAAGGGTGCTGTGCATGTGTGAAGGGTGCTGTGAATGTGTGAGGGGGCAGTGTGCGTGAGGGATGGTGTGTGCGTGTGAAGGGGGAGGCTGTGTGTGTGTTTGAGGAGTGGAGTGTTTGTGAGGGGGAAGTGGTGTGTGAGGTGGGCAGTATGTGAAGGGGGCTGTGTTTGTGAGGGGGCAATCTGTGGGTGTGTGGGGTGTGCAGTGTGTGTGAGGGTGGCAATGTATATGTGTGAGGGGTGTAAAGTGTGTGTGGGGGCAGTCTGTGTGTGTGTGAGGGGTGTAGTGTGGATTTGTGTGTGAAGGGTGCATAGGGTCTATGCTGTGTGTAGGTGGGTGAGACGTGGAAATCTAATGAAAGGATCCCTACTGCCGGCCTTGGTCCACGGCCATCGAAGCCCACTGGATGTTTTCTGCAGAACCCACCACCGCCCACCTGAAATCCCAAACCGCCCACTAGTGGGTGGTAGGGACCAGGTTGACTACCACTGCTCTAAAGTATCAATATCCTTCTGGAGATACGGTCTCCAGTACTGCGTACAATCCTCCAAGTGAGGTCTCACCAGTGCTCTGTACAACGGCATGAGCACTTCCCTCTTTCTACATCTTGTCAAGACCTCAGTTGTCACAAGTGATGGCTGAGGAGAAAAATTCCAGGAACGGAAACGGTTTGGCAGGAAGAAGACGGCGGAAGGTGTGAGGGACAGGTTCAAGTAAGCATAACTCACCTTCCTCTGCATCCCTCGACCACTGCCAGCGCAGCAGCCACCGTTGGAGGTCTTTTCACTCCTTGCAAAATTTGATTTATTATTTCTAAAAATTAAGTCTGCTGTCCTGATGATGCCAGAAATACCCTGGACAAGTTTACCAGAAATTGATCAAAATGTTTAACAACTATTTGCCCTCTTACCTGGGTCTCTGCGGCTACTTTATCCCTGATGACGCGCATCCATCTCCTGCAGAACTGCTGCAGCCGATTCAGTCGCCATTCATTTGCTAAGAGCCTCAGTTGACCTCATTCAGCTAATGACTGGCACACTGTATATGAAAATTTGAACAGAATTGATATTGTTCTCTCTTGACTCTTGTTCCATGCTGGCTAATGATGCCCCGATGACGCCGCCACTGGTCGATTTACACCCCCGGCCAAAACGGGGTTAAACTCGGTTATGTGCGGCTTTTCATACTGAAACACTGCGCGTACACACTACAAACATGGGAAAAGATGTACATAGAAAAAAAAAAAAACCTGAGAAAAATATACTTGGATTCAACAACAACAAAAAACCACAACAAACAAAATGCAGGACCCAGTGCAGCAAAAATCTCACATGTCACACATAATACTTTCTATGTTTTCTTAAAATCCTCCACAATAAACCTCTCCTCTTTCTATTTTAGAGAAAATGTTTTAGTGAACTTTTACACAAAAATATGCTAGTTCAGTAAGTCATGGCAAGTTATGTAAACTCAACTTGTTTTATACACAGGGCAGGGTTATGCCTTACATGTTGCCATTCACAATATGGCGGCACAAGGCGGAGCGGAGTGCCACGTGATGGGGACTTGACTCGTCCTCCCTGTGTTTGCCAAGTCCAAGATGGCGCCCTCCAGAATTGCTGCTTATATTTTTCCGGGAGTATTTTGTTGCTTATTCTTCGGCTGTTTTGTGGCCGCTGATGATAGCTTAATAAAGTGCGACGAGCTGCGAATGGGACAATATCCTTTTGAGTTCAATGCTGGGATTGGGGGCATAACAGGGTTTATATAGTCATTCAGTATATCAATTAATTAATTGTGTTTTATATGATTTTATAAATGTAATAGGGGAATGCATGGCTTGTTTAATCTAGTGGTTATACACAAATGCTTACTCCAGGGATCTAATCTGTAAAATCTCCAAAACGGCATGTTTTTTGTAAGCATCCCTAAATAAAGAGTGATATGCCCCCAGCCCAGTTTTTATAGATCTTGTTGAATTTGATTTTGTTTATGATGTTTAGATTCTCTGACGGATTTAATTTAATGAGTTATGTTATTAACAGGTTCACAACACTTGTCATTTGTGTGTGTGTGTGTGTGTATTTTATATTATGGTGCATTGCAGCAAATTGATAAACCTGTGTAGCGTTTCCACCTTTTGTAGCCTGTTTCAAACCAAACATCACATTGATCAAAATAGGATGTTGATCAATACTTTTCCCAAATATATCCTGTCTGAAAGTATACATTCTTATCTTTTGCTAGTGGTGCAGTCAATAAGGACCACAAAATAATAATAATTAAAGCACTTTTACTAATTTTACTTAGTGTTTTGAATTTAGTATAATATTTGGACTTCCAGCTATTAAACTTTTAACTTCTTAAAGGACCACTATAGGCACCCAGACCACTTCAGTTTAATGAAGTGGTCTGGGTGCCAAGTCACTCTAGTTTTACCCTGCAGCTGTAACACTGCAAGATTAATCCAGCCTCTAGTGGCTGTCTCCCTGACAGCCATTAGAGGCCGCTTCCACGATTTACACTGAGTAAATTGCACTTGTGTGACACTGGATGTGCTCAAGGAGTCTAGCGTCAAACTAGATCTCCATAGGAAAGCATTGAGTAATGCTTTCTTATTGGCGGGTTTGAAAGTGTGCACCTCTGGCTGCGCATGCACATTCGGCTCCACTTGGGAGCTGATGTTAGCAGGGGAGGAGAGGTCACCAGCACTGAGGGAGCCCGGCATTGGATTAATGCAAGTGGCTGAAGGGAGGGGGGCACTCCATGAGCCTATAGTGCCAGGAAAACGGGTTTGTTTTCCTAGTACTACAGGATCCCTTTAAATTTTCTGCCTCACAGGTGTCCTAAATAGTTTTGAAACAAGAAGGAAGGTTATGTTCTGTTAAAAGTACATTCTTAGTAGTTGCAGACCCGTTCTTTCTTTCTTTCTTTCTTTCTTTATTATAATGCATTAAGATCCAAAAATGAAAACTATGAATTAAAAATGATGATTTTAAAAAATAAATTCCTAAATTTGCTGCAAATTCACTGGTTTTATCGAGCCATAAAGTGACGTGGCTGCCTTAACCAGAAAGTGACGTACAGCTCAGGTGAATTTATTTTATGCCTCCCTGGTTTGCCTTTTAAAGTTTGTAGTTCCTATACAAGCTTAAATGCAATTTAAGTTGTCCAGCTTTTATTGGTTTACTAGTTTTGTGCCAGTGGAGGAAATAACAATACCAAAACTTTTCAAAATGTCCAAGGACTTGTTTAGGAACCACTCTATTTGGCCTTTGCAATTTCACATATTTCCAATATCTATGTACAATTTGTAAATATTTATTTTCCTTAATTTCTGACACATATGTCTGTGCAAGCCCTGAAATTAACCCTGTAACTCAGGAACCTGCTCGGTGTGCAAACTCTACAGCTTATGGTGAGATGTTCAAAACTATATTATTTACTAGATATGTTTGTGTATTTCAGTGTCGGACATATTGCTTGTTATGCATAAACTTTCATGACTTGGCATACCAAAGATTTGCCCATTCCCTGGTCATTAAGTTAATAAAAATAAATTAAATTCTGCGGCAAAATATAGAATTCACCGTGGAAACCAACGTTAATGCTTAGTGCACCACTGTTAGAATTACGTACCAAAACGTACATTTATTTTTATAACCACACCATTGCTGATTAGTTACACAGATCCTCTATAAGAACAGCTCTTTATTCTATTCTCTCAAAACGGTGAATAGAAAATAAATTATTACTTCCCAATTTAAAGTTCTCTTTTCATCCTTTATGAATCTTTAAAGTGTCTGTGCAATCAAAATAATAGAACAAATTTTGCCATACGATATTAAACGGAGTGTGTAAAAAAACTTGTAAAAACCCACACTGTGAACCCAAATACTATTAGTTAAAAGGTGCACAACACGAAAGATATACTTGCACTCCTTAGTAGATCAGATCAAATAATCTACAAAACAGAACAGACACAAACTAGTGCAATACAGCAAATAGCAAATAAAGCAATCTAAATGCTTATAGGAATATCACTCACAATTCTGGAGTGGTTATAGTACCAGTCCGGACTAACATGCTCAGGGAAGATCAGACTCTGGAGATCGTTGGATCTCTCCACTACTTGGATCCAACAATCTCAAGGGTCTGATCCTCCCTGAGCATGTGAGTCCGGAGTGATACTATAACCACTCCAGAATTGTGAATGATATTCCTATAAGAATTTATATAGTCTTTTTTGCTCTTTTGCACTAGTTTGTGTCTGTTCTGTTTTGTAGATTATTTGATCTGATCTTCTAAGGAGTGCAAGTATATCTTTTTTATGTTGTAAACCTTATACCTAATACTATTTGGGTTCACAGTGTGTGTTCTTACAAGTGTTTTTCACACACTCCGTTTAATAACATATGGTAAAATTTGTTCTATTATTTTGATTGCACAGACACTTAAAAAATTCTTTGCACACCCACATTTTCTATTTTTATTTTTTTTGCACTTTATTTGGAAGGTTTCCTTGTGGGTTGCTGCATGTTTATATTTCAGCTAAGAACATCCTTAAGGTGAAAGCTTTCTTGACAACTGCAAATTTGCACCATTCTAATTATTGTGTCTTCTCCTTTATGAATCTCGCACACACACACACACACGCGCGCGCGCGCGCGCACACACACACACACACAAAAATCAGAGTTATTTCTGACCCTGTGCTTACAGCATCAAATTTCAAATAACTACTATGCCAGTCATGTGGGTTTTGCCTAAATGTGCTATGTTCGTGTTTGTGTGGGGGTTTTTGGTTCTATTTTTTTCAGTGTATTTGCTTTTGTGTTTTTCATAATGTAAATGTATTTTTAACAAAACTATTTTTTTCTGCAGCTCCTTGTTTTCCAGCAACCAATATTACTTGTAAAGACTTTGGTGGAAATGTGACAACCTTTACTGGTAAAGAGATAGGATTTTATAAACCTTTTCCCTGCCGCAATGTGTAAGTAGTACTTCTTCTTTTTGGAACATTTTATTCCACTGTGCAATAAGAACACAGAATGTACTATGGAAAAAATTGAAGTTCCTGTGTTTCTTGCAAATCCCCAACATTTGTGGCTTCTTGCAGTGAACTCTACCCAGACCAGCAAGTAGCTGACACCTGCCAACCAGTCCTAGCCTTCTCATTGTTTTCAGTGGGAGTGCTGAGTTTATGGCAAATGCAGTCCAACAAATGACGTCTGTTACACTCATCAGAAAATGTTAATGGATCTACTGTCCAAACTATATCTGCTGCAGTGTTGTATCTCCATTGATATTTAAAGGATCACTACAGGGTCAGGAACACAAACATGTAGTCCTGACCCTATAGTATTAAAACCACAAACTTGCCCCCCTGAGCCCCTCATGCCTCCCTAAATATAACAAAATCTTACTGTATTCAAGTCTGAAGCTGTAACTCTGCATGCTGTTAGACTCAGAAAAACAAACAGTCTGCTGACATCAGAAGTGGTGGCCTAATCCAATCACAGTGCTTCTCCATAGGACTGGCTGAGACTGACAAAGAGGCAGATCAGGGGCAGAGCCAGCATGATTCAAACACAGCCCTGGCCAATCAGCATCTCCTAATAGAGATGAATTGAATCAATCTCTATGAGGAAAGTTCAGTGTCTGCATGCAGAGGGAGGAGATACTGAATGTTTGGATGCATTTTAGGCAGCCATGACGCAGGAAGGATCTCTAACAGCTATCTGAGGAGTGGCCAGTGAAGTTATCACTAGGCTGTAATGTAAGCAGTGCATTTTCTGAAAAGACAGTGTTTACAGCAAAAGGCCTGATTGTAATGATTCCACTCACCAGAACAAATTCAATGAGCTGTAGTTGTTCTGGTGACTATAGTGTCCCTTTAATGAATGCAACTTAAGATGTGACTCTGGCTCCTTCAAAGGAAGCTGATATGGGGACTTTTAGAGGAGGTGTATAGAGTGTTCCTCTCCAGCATGTACACACTGTACAAATGGGCTTGCTGATATTTATTACAAGTATGTTAATCTTCTTGGCCATTTTATTTTACTATTGTATAAGAAGCTCTTTGGAATCATCCCTTCATAGTCTGCTAAAAATATAAAGAAAAATACAAACAAACATCTAATTTATACATGAGTAATAAATATACGGTCATCTGTACAGTTACTTGTACAGACCCTGTTTAAGGAGGTGAGGTTAAAGGACCACTATAGGCACCCAGACCACTTCAGCTTAATGAAGTGGTCTGGGTGCCAAGTCCACCTAGGGTTAACCCTTTTTTCTATAAACATAGCAGTTTCAGAGAAACTGCCATGTTTATATTAGGGTTAATCCAGCCTCTAGTGGCTGTCTCATTGCCAGCCGCTAGAGGCGCTTGCGTGCTTCTCACTGTGATTTTCACACTTAGAAGATGCCAGCGTCCATAGGAAAGCATTGTGAATGCTTTCCTATGAGACTGGCTGAATGCGCGCGCGGCTCTTGCCGCGCATGCGCATTCAGCCAGAGAGGAGGAGGAGAGCTCCCCGCCCGGCACTGGAGAAAGAGGTAAGTTTAACCCCTTCCTCACCCTAGAGCCCGACGGGAGGGGGACCCTGAGGGTGGGGGCACCCTCAGGGCACCATAGTGCCAGGAAAAAAAGTATGTTTTCCTGGCACTATTAGTGGTCCTTTAAGGGAACACTCTGGGCACCGTGACATCTTTATCTCAATAAAGTTATGATGCCAGGAGGACCTGGGTGCCATCTTTTCTTAATGGTTTAAAGCGTTTATGAATGGTTTATCCCAAATTTGTGAGGATGCGGCACGTCTGCTCTGCCACATTGTTTACAGTGTTGTCTGAGGCTTCAATGAGTAAGCATTGACCACGCTCAGCCTATTAGTAGCTTCCTGTTCACAAAACTGTGTGACAAAGGTATGCACCTTTCTTTAATACAAAAACTCAAGTGGGGGGAGTGGAGCAGTCCTGATGGTTTGATACCATTTCAAGAATCTTTTATGAGCTCAAATATAAGTCATCTGGTTTTGTATCACCACACTGTTCATAGAAATCTGTGTGAAGCAAACATCTTCCCAAGGCCACATTTTTAAATCCTAGTAATCCACAAATAAAGCATTAAGACAGATTCAAACTTGAACTTGACCACAGTTAAACCATTAACAAGAACTATATAAAGATGTCATGCATATTGATACGTATATATTTTTTGTCAATAACTAAAGACCGTGAATGTGAAAACATGAATTATTCTTGGTAATTTAGTTTTTTTGTAAAATAACATCAAATGATTCTCATGTATTCTGCTGACTGTGTCTGATACCCTGGTTTATTTAAATACTTCTACAGATATGTAAATGGATTGTTTTAATTAAAAACAAAAAATATATATTTTTTTTGTTGCAGAAATGGCTATTCCTATAAAATTGCGGTTGCCCTCTCTTTGTTTCTTGGATGGTTGGGTGCTGACAGATTCTATCTTGGATACCCTGCTCTGGGTGAGAGACTGATCAAGTCTAGTAATTTTAAATATTCTCTCTGTTCAGCTCATACCTATGGTTTATTGTTTTGTTGGGCCCATTCAAATTTGCTTTGTTAAAGGACCACTCTAGGCACCCAGACCACTTCAGTTTAATGAAGTGGTCTGGGTGCCAGGTCCCTCTAGGATTAACCCTTTTTTTTTATAAACATAGTTTCAGAGAAACTGCTATGTTTATAAATGGGTTAATCCAGCCCTCAAATCCTCTAGTCGCTGTCTCATTGAAAGCCGCTAGAGGCGTTTGCGTGCTTCTCACTGTGAAAATCACAGTGAGAAGACGCCAGCGTCCATAGGAAAGCATTATAAATGCTTTCCTATGAGACTGGCTGAATGCACGCGCAGCTCCTGCCGAAGAGGAGGATCAGAGGTGGAGAGGAGGAGAAGAGCTCCCCGCCCGACGCTGGAAAAAAGGTAAGATTTAACCCTTTCCTCTCCCCAGAGCCCGGCGGGAGGGGGACCCTGAGGGTGGGGGCATGAGTATGTTTTCCTGGCACTATAGTGGTCCTTTAATATGGATTCTGTATTCCTTACCGTAAATGACCGGTAGAGTAGAAAACCAATTTTACTTGTAGCTTACCTATTTAAATTTGTTATATTATTTGGTCTTGTCACCAAAACGGATCAATCCGCTAAAATGTTGTAAAGAATGCAGTAACTCTGCACATAGAACATAACTTGATGTCATTAAAGCGGCACTGTCAACCCCCCTCCCCTCCTGTAAAATCAGTATTTCATAAAGATAGAAATCTTTATGAAATACTTATTTTGTCTGTGTTGGAATTACACTGAAATTTATGCCCAGTCAATAAATATACTGAGACAAAGTAGGGACTACTTTGTCTCTGTATATTTCCTCAGCTTGACTTTCTTAAACTTTGGGCAGAGCTACATTGTCAATTTGGATGTAGGGAATTGGCTCTGTTTATGGAGGACCGACCGGAACAAGAAGGCCGCGCCCGAGAGGGACAAGTTCGGGTAAGTAAATCTCACCTTTACCTGGCGACTGGACCCCCAGTAGCAGTGCCGCTTTAAATGCATACGTTTATTTACATTCAAGAAGAAGTAAAGTACTGTAAGGCACAAACAGGGTTGATGTGATCTTTAGAGCCAGACAGAAAATGTATTCAACAAGAAAATATTTGCTGAAGTTACAGTTTCTTTCCTTTGGCACACAGGTAGCATAGTTCCCCGTGCCAGCAGCAGTGATATGAGCTTACAACGGACTCCATGACGGAGAATAGAAGCTGTTGATTATAATAGCTATTATGTAATGTCTGAGATGCTGGACTGTGCATGCGGTGCAGACTGTCCTGTATTTTGGGACTTGTAGCCTTACTGTAATAATTCCCAGCCAATCAATGTACAAACGACACTGGAAGTGTATTTTCTGTTATATACATGTGTGCTACCTGAGAACATATTTTTTTAAATGTATTTATTTTTTTAGAACAACCCAAGCCCGCAGTGTCTATTGGAGCCAAATGTGCGCTTTTTAAACTGGAGATGTGCAGTATATTCCTTTTAAATGGACACTCCAGGAAAGTAGTTATTTGTAGAGTGTAACAGACCGTTTTTCCCACAAGAAGTTAAAAACCGTTTAGGCGATATTCCCCTTTTTCAGCTGCACAGACAGCTACTGCACGCACCAATCTCCCGAACTGCAAACCCACGATTCACCAACTGCAACCAAGGGAATACTCGAAACTCCCGAACTGCATACCAAGTAGCACTCCAAACTCCCGAACTGGAGACACACGAATAGCTGCTAGCAGACGAACAGGAAAAGCCCCCAAGCGGCTTACACTCCTGGCAATCAGTCTCTAACAGCATACAGTAAATCCTCCCCCCCAATAATGAGACGACACTTCACTTTGAGGGTTAAGCAGGAACTGATTTACTGGGGCTAACTGCCCGGCTTTTATGCAGGTCTCCCACCTGGTGGACTCTCCCCTAGGGGACCAAATGGGAGACTGGGACACAAAGGGTAAAAGGACCAATCACAGACTTACACATTTTAACCATCCCACAATGCATCACAATCCCTCCTCTCTGCCCTGGAGATAATTGGGAAGTAATCCAATTATATCCAAAGACACAGGCAAAACTCCATTAACCACATGGCAGAAAACAAACAGTAAAAGACATAAAATTACCTACAGTTACATTCAGTACATAAAACATATACGTTCTACATATCCCCAGATAGCTCAGATCTGAGCGCACATTATTACCGAATGGCGCTCAGATCACATACATACAGTTCAATAGCCATGGAGCCAAAGGCCTTCACATAGTCTTTTCGTTACATGAACAGGCTCCATGGCTTAGCTATCTGGGTGATGCTGTTCATCCGGTTAAACTACCGAATGAACAGTCATTCGGTTCCGCTCTCGAATTGGAAGGGAAGGAGGCTGGCGGCTCAGTGGTGTTCGCGCAATTAAGTGTCCGTTTTCAGTTCCATAGTTTAGGCGCTGAACACCGCTGGCCGGCAACCGAACAAAGGCCTCCCAGCGTTCATCAATTAAGCTGCGGTTAACCGCAGCTTCTGGGCGGTCAATTGACGGCACACTCCAATTCCCAGGTGGTCCATCGTTCGGTAGTTTGTTCGGTAGATTGAATCTACCGAACACCCTGGCAGAAATGCATGAATAAACCTTTCAGCAGGGAAAATAACAGGTCTGAACTGCAGGGCCATAGTCTAAAGGGAGCAGGCGAGCAACCAAGCTTCTCCAGTGTACAGTGGCGAGGTTGGTTTTGCCACATAGTTTTTTTGCAAATTGCTGCAGTTAGAATGACACTGTCACAGGGTGCATTCTTAATGACAGGAGGTAAATAGGGGAAATTCCAGTAGCTAAAAGGGCAGCGTTGCTCATTAAAGATGAGAAGATGGTGGTGTGTCAGTAGATTCAGGCACAATTGTGCAAAGAAAGGGCAGAACTACAAGGTACCCCATGCAGAAATACTTGGCATTGCCTGAGATGCACAGTGATTGTCTGTCAGAAAGTTCTAAGAGTGCTGGGACCTTATTGCATAACGGTTTATTTGGTGGATCTTTTCATTGGTATGGTTGCAGTGAGTTAATTGAGAGAGGTCTCTCTTCTCTGACAAATATAAAACAAAACCTTCTTTTTTTTTTTTTTTAAACAGTTTGATTAGTATATGGGTGACTCTCCCGCAACACTTTCCCAGTTGTGAAGCTATCTCAGTACTATCACAGAAACATAGAATGTGACGGCAGATAACAACCATTCGGCCCATCTAGTCTGCCCAATTTTCTAAATACTTTCATTAGTCCCTGGCCTTATCTTATAGTTAGAATAGCCTGATGCCTATCCCACACATGCTTAAACTCCTTTACTGTGTTAACCTCTACCACTTCAGCTGGAAGGCTATTCCATGCATCCACTACCCTATTCCACCAGTACAGAGACAATTTGTTGGTGGTATTATATTATCGTATAGTATTGTTTTTGCCAAATTACTATTTATATCTGTACGTTTTAGGTCTGACAACTCCAGTTCTGGTATTGTTGTACTCCAGTCATTCGCTGTGTATTGTGACGTTTATTTCAAGCTATGGAAAGCATGATACCACATCCAAAAATACTTTAGCTGTGTATGCTGTGTAAATTAGTTGCAAATGTCTTTTTATGTACAAAGTAATTAGATGATGTCACTTTTGGAATTTGCTCTTACAGTTAAACAGTCTGCTAGTCCTCAGACTTTAAGTGTGATAGTATTAACACTGATCACAGCCTCATAAACAACATGATGTAAAGGGTTTTTCCAGGACATTGGAAGTTTAAATGTATCATGTGTATACTGTATAAAACACACACAAAAATGCTTAAAATAAATTCTACAGGACAGTAATCTATATGAAGGCAGCAGTGAAAGTAAAATAAAAAAATCAAGCTGATATTTTCTGTCCGACGTCAAACAAGCAAAATCTTAATGTTTGCCCTTTCGATAGTCCTCACTCAGGTCTCAAACAGGTTTCATGCCAATACATAGAGAACTTTTACATTTCTGACTAATACAACCCAAAAGGGCAGTCTAGATTCAAAATGCTAGCAAATTCTCTCTGCACAAGAGGAACAGCAAACCTCGATGATCATTTTAGCCCTTATTATTAATATAACACGTGGCAAAATTGAACCATTCACTCCAAAAACATCTGTAGCTTATTATAGTGGTCATGGTGCTAGAAGGTAGTGGCTGCGATCCCTCTAAATTGTGGCAAAGCTTTTTCAAGAGATTTGACAAAAATTGGAGAAATACTTGGCAACCAGAGCCCCATCACAGCACTCAACTTAGTGTTTCTTTGAAAAAGGGTCACTTCCTTATTATGTGTTCAGGCATTCTGAACGGGTCAGTGGCTGATTGACCGTGCTCTCCTGTACTACACTGTTTAGAGTCTCCACTGCTCACACTGTGCAAGCACTTAGATGGAAAATGAGGAAAGGAAACTTGTATTCCGACTTTGAAAGATGGAGTGCGTAGGCTTTGGATGCTAGGGAATCCTCTATTTTTTGCTGAACATCTTAAAAAAGGGTTTGACGAAAAATGGAGGGACTACACACTATGTGGTACTTGATGTGTACCTTTAAAATTCAATACAATAACGCATAATACATTTATGATATGAGTGCCACTTTAAGGTTGTGAAGATCCTGAGCAGAAAACATCACCCATATCACTCTAGAGTCTAATATACAGTTTTTCTCAAAAGTGTTGACAGGAAATTGTACGACTTGTAGTCTATCAAAACTGGAGGAACATAGTTGGCCACCCCTGCCACAGTACAAGTATTTCTAATCTTTATTTGTTTTTCCACCTAGGATTGCTGAAATTCTGCACAGTTGGGTTTTGTGGTATTGGAAGCCTGATGGACTTCATTCTAATCTCCATGCAGGTGAGGTATAGGGTTGCAGCGAAATTATCACTCACTCCTATAATCTGGTAATTGAAATATAATTATTTTATTATCCTTATTTAAAGTGGAAGGCCAACTTGGCCTCAGATTAATGTATAACTAATAACAAGTAACATTTTTACTTGATCATTCTGCCAATAAATTGCCTGCATAAGGTCAGTTGTTGTTATGACTATTAATTGATCTTTTAATATTATTATAATTAATTCTTGAGAAGAAAATACAAACGGTGTGTGTGTATACATATTTATATTTACATACAAGTAGTACAATGTATATTTTCATAAAATGAAACATTATTGTAGAAATTAAATTGTTAGACAAAAATCCATACTGTCAGATAATTAGAAAGTGTGGTTGGAAATCTCATGTAATTTAATTTGTTTTAAGGGACACTATAATCACCAGAACTACAGCTTTTTGTATTTGTTCTGGTGAGTAGAATCATTCCCTTAAGCCTTTTTGAAGTAAACACAGTTTTTTTTCAGAGAAAATGCATTGTTTTTATTACAGCTTAGTGATAACTCCACTGGCCACTCCTCAGATGGCTACTAGAGGTGCTTCCTGGGGCAATGCTACACACTGTGCAGCACTGCCATTCAGTGTCTCCACCATCTGCATGGAAACACTGAACTTCTCTCTTAGAGAAGCATTGATCCAATGCTTCTCCATGAGGAGATGATAATTGGCCAGGGCTGTGTTTGACTACCCCTGATCTGCCTCCTTGATCGTCTCAGCCAATCCTATGGGAGAGCATTGTGATTGGCTCACATAATCACTTCTGATGATGTCAGCTGACAGAAGGCATTTCAGTGGCAGAGGCAGCAGCTGCAGACTCGAATACAAGTAATATTTTACTATATTTAGGGAGGCAAGAGGAGGCTAGATGGGGATTTTAACACTATAGGGTCAGGAATACATGTTTGTGTTCCTTTAAGGCAAACAAAGCAGAAGCAGATAACAGTAGTGGAATTCATAGACACAAGGTCACACAAATAAGTCTCAACTAATAGAACTGAAATACAAAAGGGACCAGTCAGGGTTAGTGGAAAAAGGATTACTAAAAGAAATAGAGAGGGGGAGGAGAGGGGTAAAAACTTTCCTTCTATAAGTTAAGTCGCAGCCAACATCTAGTTTGAACCCAAATGTCGCCATCAGCGAAGCCTATAGACCTCGGGTATTTTCTGAGAGGAGTTTAATGTCTTTTCTTCGGATGGTAATTGAGGGGTGGTAACACAAGTGCACAGTAAAACCTGATTTTTTTTTTTATTCTCTACTAAAAAATATCACACTGCTAGTAGTCTTGGTTCTCTGATTACAAGACCCCCTCTCACCCAATTTTTTTTTTTTTTTATTATTATTATTTTATTTTTTTTTTTATTTTTTTTTTAAAATATGCACGTCCTGATATAACCAGAGCACTCAATGGTTGAAATGTGCATATTAAAAAAAAACATTTAAAAAAATTGTGGAAACATGCATGATCTACAGTAATAGCTCTTTATTGTGTTTTTTATTCTGTGTCATAATAGCCACATTTAAAATCTAAACTAAAGATAAAATCTTGTCTATACACATGCTATCAATTTGGCAGACACAGTGTATCGCTAACATGAAATTCTAAATAAGTTCACATCAGGTTAAAGATATGATTTTTAAGGAACAGTATCTTGGTGGCAACAAATGCATCAATAGGACACGGAGTACATGTTTCATGTAACTGCTGTACAATCTTGATTCAAATAATCTGGTTTAATTTTCATGCTTTCTTAATCTGAAACATTCTATCCAAGCAGTACTCTGGATCAGCGCCGCTGCTCTGATGGCATTTTTCAGCTTAATATAATAAAGTACACAATTTTGCCACCAATGGGATTTATTCACTAAACCTGGAAATTGTGGAGGATTGGAAAGGGCATTGCATATTTCAGGGTAATAAAATGAATTGGAAAAGTATTTTCCAACTCAAGCTATATTTCCATCTCTGCTGGTTTGGATTAATATTTGAAATTACCTGATACATTGTCCAAGTTGTAAAGCCGTGATTGCAAATGTACACATGCGGATTGCATTAATAAGTGGTCATTTTTGCCGTGACTCTGTTCCCTTACATTCTTGCAATTTAAGAGTGTTCCTTACACTTGAACAATGATGGAGTGTAGGGACACGCTAAGGGCTAAGAGGGTAAAATTGGTCCTCGGCAGAAGAAACTGAAATGAGACCTCTTATGACAAGGCTTGTTTTCTACCTTTAGAACAAGAGCAATTTTTAAATATTTGCAATGTTTTTTTGTTCAATCATAATTTTCCTTTTACTTATATGGTGCACAAACCCTTTTTTTTTTTTTTTTTAAAGTAAGGAGACAAGGTGGAGGATTACTTGTACGAGGCTGTAAAAGTACATTTGCTTTTACAATCATTAGAATATAATGACAAATTTCACAAATTGCGGTTGGTATGTGTTATACATATCCGCCAAAATATGGATCAGTAACACGTAGAAGAGTAGGTTAGCAACATAACAGTAATTATGTGTCCACCTATAAAGGATGGGGCAGGGATATTAGAAAAGGAGGGGAGGGGGCAAGTACATATTTATTTATTAACGATATTGAATGCTTTCTTTATATATTCTATACACCTGATAACCCTTTACTTAGCATGAGATAATAAAAGAAAAACATTTTGTAGTCAACTAGTATAGCTAAGAAAATTATGACAATAGATTCATCCATCTGTCCTGATTTTGGGAATAGCTCATATGATTTGCTCAATCCCAGTTCATGTACCAAGAGTGTATTTCATCTCTAAAAGCTTTCAAATTTTGAAATGTTGGGTTCCATGTTTAATTAAAATAGCTGCAATTAAAGTGTCCAATCACTGACAAAATTTTCAGGTGAAAATATTTGTTTTTCTCACACTTGCAGGCACATTACAATTTTGTTACGATAAATAAGGTTGATTTAATTCACATCACCATAAACCTTTTACGTATTTAATTTATTTTGCAGCATAGTGATGTACACTTTACTGCTTTGACTGTGCAGTACAATGTACAAAGTATACTAAAATAATGCATTTTTGATGTGGACATGTCATACACAAATGGGTGCGAAGTATCCTTTGCCCACCCGATGTCACTGCACAACCCACTCGCCTGCGACATATTATAGCTTGTTGCTGAAGACAAAAACTAATGCGATCTGTACATGTGCTTGAATTTTCGGTAAAACAACATAGTATTTTGTCCTCTTTACAGTACCTCCATTTTATTTTATTCCCACCTCCCCCCCCAAGGACAAGTGTGCTTTAAACCTTTAAACTGAGACAAACATTTTAGCTTGAAAACTGTTATAAATATATATATTTATATATTTAAAAAAAGAGAGTTCTAAATAGAATGGTTGGGGTGAGGCTGGATACTAACTCAGTAAATCTTTGCAGAGTCGTACATTAAAATTGGTTATTAAATATTTGCATGGCTCTAATTGCTTGTTGAATTGCCATATCTCCTCTGCATTTAAACTAGAATACAGCCTGAAAATTGATCTGAACATTTAAAATGTGCATTTTCTTTTCCTGTACGTTAAAAGCTACTTTATCACTTTCTGGTTTATTGCTGGCGCAGTGGAGAATTCATGGACAACACCACAAATGTCTAGACTGTGTCATATGGTCAGATTCACAGTAACTTAATCACAATTAAAGGAACCTTTGTTTTGAATGGACTTGTTACGTTGAGTTTTGGGTATTTTGTGCAGTGGTTCAGTGCTAGATTTTCTAAAGCAATATCAGAATGAACTTGCTTTAGAAATATTTGCATTGTGTAATTTCTAACTAAGCTCCTTGCTGCACAATAGGGGGATATCAAAATTGTATGGTCCATTAAGCACTTTAGAAACCAACTGATAGCATGGGTCCATTATTTTATTTTAGTTGAATTTATGTGATTGTAAAGTCTATAGAGAACAGACACACTGTTATAAGATATAAATAGTACATGGACTTATCTTCCTGCTTATAGTACTGCAGTTAGTAAGAGAAACAGGTTAAATATGGATCGATCTGTTAGTAGATGAAATGCTTGGTTGACATGATACACTTGTTGACATTTGTGATTTCTCCGACTGTGGTTCTCCCCCACTGCACCTACTAGTATAGGGTTTCCTTTTTTACATGACTGAATCTTATTCCTACAGATTGTGTATCTGGATTATTTTTTATCCTTTCTATATAACCTTAGCATAGCTAAAATGTCATTCTTTTCCACAAGATGTTACTAAATCAATGTGTTCAATACAGAAAGGAAAAAAGTAGGAAGTCTTTTGTCTATTTAATCAGTGTTGTGTTATGTACGACTTGGGGAAAGATCATGCAACATTTTAGGTCAAAGTAATGTGGGACACAAAATTCAGATAATTATGAAAAGCTCACACACACTGCATTTTTATTAATTAGTACAGAATCTTTTAATGACTTCCTTACGTGTTTTTAATGTTTGTTCCCTTTTATTTTTCCTTACTCCAGATTGTTGGACCTTCCGATGGGTCAAGTTATATTATAGATTACTACGGTGCAAGACTTGTTCGCCTGAGTATTAATAACGACACCTATCGCAAAACTCAGATATACCCATGAACGTGGAGTAAGTTTGCAAAACTAAAAGCTGCTCTGTTTTAATCAGTTATTAATATGAATTCTGCAGAGTATATTCACTGTCATCAGTTTTGGTCTTCAAAAAAAAAATTTTTTTGTTTTTTTCATATAATTGAAAAGACTTATCGTTGTGAGTAACCATAATGCAGACACACTCATATTGATTAGCACTCCTAATGATTTAAAGCTTTTCGTGTCTGACCACACTCTTACCACCTCTCAGCTCTTTCCTTTGTACTGCACTATTTTGTATAACCCTTCTTGACTTACAGATCATCTTCTTTGAGTAGACTCTTATCGATGGCAATACTTCTTCTATGGTTATACTTTTATTTCCTCTTCACATTTTCGGTCTCTTAACACACATTTTACCTTAAAATTCTACCTGTCTACTGTTACAATTCAACTCAGCTATTCTTGTCTGATCATAGTCTTTCCAACTCCTACCTCTTCCTGACTGCTTGGTCCTGCTCTGAACGCTCCACATAGAGATGCACTGACTCAATGCATCCTCTACGGGGAGATACTGATTGGTTGCAGCATGGTAAATAATGTCCATGCACACTAGCCCCCAATACTTCCCCCTATGAGGAAGTATTGGATTGGCTGACTCAACTGGTGAGACCAATGAGGTTGATAAAGAAAGGTAAGTAAAGCTCTTGTACTTATGGGGGGCCCAGTAAGCGAATAGACAGACAATATAGTTTTAAGAATGTATGTTTGTATTTAGAATGCTATAGAGTTCCTTTAATGCAGGCTTACAGCTCCTTACCATGTAGATTCAATTATGTGATAAACCACATGGCAGTGGCTTATGAATAGAAAGGAATTTGTGGGATTGTTGGAACTTCTCAGCCATATCCTGGTATAATTCTGTCTAAGGTATATATTTTTTTTATAAAGTAAAATAGGCTGCCTGTATGTACTGTTTCCGATATACCGTTTGAAAAATAAAGTTGTAAGAATGTGGGTAAGTTCTTCCCCGGAGTGTCACATTAACATTTAGTTCAGCCAAGACATAAAGACAAATTTATTATGACAGTCATTTAGAGATCATTCTTGAGTTGCACTCTGGAAGAATCCCCGGTGGAGTGTACTTGGGCACTGTTGAATAGTTGCTGACCTTGGTTGTATCAAACAAATAGAGCTGTTCTTTGAAAAAAAAGTAAATACAGTTTCTTTGCTTACTAGGCTGAGAACAGTACATTGCTTTTAATCTATCATAGTGTTATCAGTAACTGCCAAGAGCTGCAAGACTGAAACATAAGGAATGAATTAGGCTTAGGACTATTTGTATTGCTGTAGCTAAATTATTTTTCACCATTAGATTTCAAGAGAACATTGTATTGATCTGGAATGTGCAAGACGCGTTAGGAGGCTTTGAAATATGTATACAGATGGTTACCTAGAACTCTACTTTCTCTGGTTACTGTATTATTTGCAACAGGACTTTTAAAGCCAATGTTTATAAATGCTTGTTAGCGAGTAGGGCACCTTTTAAAAGCATTCTGCCATTTCCTATAATTAATCCTACGCAAAGCATAGTGTGCAAAAGCTACGCAGATCAGTATACTGATGAGAAAATGGCAGTTCAGTCTGTGAATTATTCTTTCCTAGACTGACTACCTTGTGTAATAGGAACTGGTTACTCTGCCCTATAAGTATATTAATATGGATCCATTACATTTGTGATAAGAGTGTTTTTGTTTAATCCGACTAATAATGTTGTCGCTGTTTCAGTCTCTTGTCTTAATAGGATTGTTTCCATAGGTTAAAGGACCACTATAGTGCCAGGAAAACATACTCGTTTTCCTGGCACTATAGTGCCCTGAGGGCGCCCCCACCCTCAGGGTCCCCCTCCCGCCCGGCTCTGGAAGGGGGAAAGGGGTAAAAACTTACCTTTTTCCAGCGCTGGGCAGGGAGCTCTCCTCCTCTGTTCCTCCCCGTCGCTGAATGCACACGCGCGGCAAGAGCTGCGCGCGCATTCAGCCGGTCGCATAGGAAGCATTCACAATGCTTTCCTATGGACGCTGGCGTGCTCTCACTGTGAAAATCACAGTGAGAAGCACGCAAGCGCCTCTAGCGGCTGTCAATGAGACAGCCGCTAGAGGCTTTGGGGGAAGGCTTAACCCATTCATAAACATAGCAGTTTCTCTGAAACTGCTATGTTTATATAAGAATGGGTTAATCCTAGCTGGACCTGGCACCCAGACCACTTCATTAAGCTGAAGTGGTCTGGGTGCCTAGAGTGGTCCTTTAATATAATTTCGCTATTATTTCAAATACCAGCACTTCAGCCAATTGAATGGAGAGCTTGATGGTATGGCCAGTCTTCTAATAATCTGTTTACTTTCTTAAAGGAACACTATAGTATTAGGAATTCAAACCTGTGTACCTAACACTATAATTTTGAACAGCTGTTGGTGTTCCTCGGCCCCCTCAGAGTAGAGAAATGAGGTGTTTAAACTTATCTTTTCTCCATCTCTACGCTGGTTTCTTTGTGTCTAGTCCTGCCTCCATGGCTGACATCATCAGTCTTTCCCATAGGAAAGCTTTGGTATGCTATTGCGTATGCACGACAGATTGCCTTGCTACGCCATTCAGCATCTCATCATAGGGAATCACTGTGCAGCACTAGACCAGGAAGCACCCCTAGTGGCCTTCTGACTACTAGTGGTGTTCCTAGGCAGCAATGTAAACACAGGGTTTTTTTTCTGAAAAGTCAGTGTTTACAGTGCTTTGCCTGCAGAGACTGACTAAAAACACCAGAACCATTACATTAAACTGTAGTGGTTCTGGTGACTATAGTGTCCCTTTAAATCGGAGTACCTACTGCCATAGCTGGACCTACTGAATGAAATGAAGAAAATGTTTGCCACATGGCGATTCCTCTGACGTGCGTGCATTGCACACGCACTTAAACACATTAATGCTGGCGCAGAGATTAGCTTCCAGGTGTGTTGTCACACAGACGGGCATCGGCATAGAATCTGTGAATCGTTTCCTGTACAAATTTTTGTTTCAGATTTGAGGAGTGTAATCATGACCCCTGTCAGTACTGGTTTTAAATTACCGGATCCATTAGCAGTGAGGAAATATTTCAGTAAATGTGCATTGACCATGATAGGTTTGCTTTGAATCGACATGTCTAATTGTTTTACTTTTTTCTTACATATATATATTTTTTAATTTCTAAGGTCACATGGAAGAGAATACGAAGGAAGAATTGTATTTTAAGACTACTTGACTTGCTCTCTATAATATATATATTATATATAAATATCACAAAGTATTTCACAAACCCTACATATATCCTTCTAGGTTTAATTCTTGTAAATAGCAAGAGCATCATAGCGTCACATTTTTGATTTCTTTTTCCCAAGAAGAATATTCATTCCCAAAGATTGTTTTACTATAAATATCTGAAAATGTGCCCATGTTTACCTACTGTTAAATGTCCCCTGTAATCCCTCCATTACAGACAAGTCGTCTGCCATATAAGATATTAATGTGTCGGGATTGTAAATTATTAGATGAACAAATGTCAAGTTTGGGCGTTAATGTTTAAGAATATGAAGCAGATTGCTGGTGTATATATTAACTTATTACATGTATTAAATAGTAAATCTTTGGATTTGTTTTTTTTTATTATTATTATTGTGATCTGTTTTTTGGTTTTCTATATTTAAAAAAAAGAGAGAGAGAGAGAAAAATTCAGGCTCCAGGTTTATTGACCATATTTATGATGCACAGATATATTTCTTTATAATGTAAAAACAAAATTGAAAGAGTTAGGTTTCGGGTTTTTAGATATTGCTTCAGTAAATGCATAAAACTTTGTTATGTAAAACATTTTATAATTGCAGCTTACAGTGCATAATTATGATTAGATTTACCTTTGCTCATTAAATTTGTACATAAAATGTGTCTTTTATCTATTAAAACTATATTTTGCTGTATTCTGGTTTAACAAGCAGTATTTATTCAATAAGCCATTACATTTTCAGTGGTATTTGAAGAAAAGAAGAACAATTAAATAAACATGGAGAAGAAATTATTGATGTCGCTGATATGGATTTGTTATAAATACAACAATTTGAAATTCAAAGAAGCATGGTAAATAAGGGATTAGTTCCTATACAACATATCTCAGTAATATTGCTTAGTCAGGATTACAAAACATCAAAAGTCTTTTTCTTTCAACAAAACTGGATTACATTGATGACCATGATTGGGAAAACGTTTTACAGATACATTTACTGGATTAAATGCAATGCAAAATTACTCCTAAACTTCTTCAGGATGTCTTGTGACATACAATAAGCTTTAACAGCGGATGTAGGGCACCAGGGGAAGACAGTAGAGACGGGCATAGAGCTCGGAGGATATTTAAAATATTTCCATGAAACAAAGATCTGTGCTAGGAGAGTCAACACAGATCTCAATTTTTATTCTGTGCCAGTCTACATGGACCCTGGTCATATTATAGTACTGTCTTCGCATTGTTTTTTTGTCTTGTGCATCAGAATTGTGATAGTTCTTAAAAAAAAACTAAAAAAAAAACGTAAAGCAGAATATAGTGATATAAGAATTGATATACATTTAGTACATATATGCTTACCATGTCCATGTTCAGAAAGAGATGGGAATTTCTTCGATGTGAATTTTGGATCAACTGTAGGAACAAAACTTGCACCAGCATTAAACATTTAGAATTCCTTAGAAATTCATCCACTTAGGTACTACTACTGCATCAGTCAAGTGTGTGTATAAACAAATTAACCAGTTTTTGGTAAATAAAAGAGAATCACTTGTGCTCGGAATAACGGTTTTGCTCCTTTGCCCACATTAGCAAGGACAAGTGCTAGGCAAAAAGGGGTGAATCTTAATTAGCTGCAGATGCCAGTTCATGACAGTTGAGGGACACTCCACTGCCTAAATACAAAATAAATAAACATCACTGTTTAGTAGATATACCCCAAATGAAAACTTGCATACATTTAATTATGTATTTTTTTATTCAGGTGTAAATCTAGAAACTGCTTGTAAAATCTGTATTACTCTTGTCTGCTGCCTTTGCAAACCCTCCCTTTCTAACCCCACCCAGACTTTCTGTTGCTGTCCAATCACAGACTTCCCAACGCAGCTCAATGAGAAATCTTTGCAAGGCAGGTGCTCTGGGCAATTGCTGCCTCTTGTAAACAACCAGGAAGTAACAGGAGTGGTTGTCTGAAAGCCAAGCGGATGTAACAAGGTCAATTACAAAAACTGCAGTTTTTGTAAACCACATAAAACACTTCAGCAAGTCATAGTACTTGTATGGAGTGCTTCATTAATATTTTAGAGCTGAGGGAATGTGTGTAATGTTAGTAAATGCATTTTTGTCTTGCAATTATTATAGACATAGAGACTCTCCGAGACACCATATTGAAACAGTGCCAGGGTTTGGTTGCTGGGAATCCCCTGTTTATTGTCAAACTGCTTGAAATTGGTTTAACAGAAACAAAGAGACTGCACCTCTAGTGTCCTTGTGCCAAAACCACTACAGTAATAACTATAGTGGAAATAATGCTTGACATGTACCTTTAAATATTTTATGTTGCTGTATATATTGGACAATATGCACAGGTTTTTCCCAGAATAAACACTTCAATAATTTTATTTAATTTTTTATTTTTTTTAAATGCTCATACAGTCCAAGGCAAAAATATTTTGTTTTAGAGATGTCCCGAGTAACTGTGTTCCGCCTCCTCTTCGCTTTTCTGAAGTACATCCTGTCCTTTTGGCAAAGATGCTTCTTAAGAAAATCTCAAAACACTTCACAGATTTTAAATATCCTTACTGGGTTATGAGCCATGTGTGTTTGATCAAAATTCAATTTCCACAGTGTACCATGCTTGGAAACCTATCTCGGCTTATGAGGAATGACGAAACACGCTACCCTAATTGGTTCAATATGGGTGTATTATCAGGCAAGCTTGTTATGATAAATAGCGTTCCGTGGTAAAGATTTTCCAGAACACACGCGCATCTTGGCTCACCTCTTTTTATATAAAGTATAAATATTCATCTCTGGGAATAGTTACATCACTGTTCTTCATGTTGTTATTCACAGTCCTAGGCTTAAAGTGGTGTAATCATCTTACAAAGGCTTAAACCATCGTAAATATGTTCAATCTTGATGTCCTTTAGCGAGGCACTTATATTGCAAGAACCTGTTCTTGATTGGTTGCACATTTTGGAGATGTGTGATAGTTTTTTTTTTTTTTATGGGATGATAATCAAAGTGTCTTTTTTTTAAAGTGGTTTACTAGAGCAATTACTATGGAAACAGGTGGAACCAGCATGCAGATTCCATTGGTGCCTCCTCCCTTTTTTCGTCTTCGAAAGAGAACTATTTGATATATCAACCCCACTGTGTTTTATGAGTCATTGTGAGTTAGATTTGAAGTTTACCTATTGCCTGTCTTTATGTGTCCTTAAGAAATGACTTTGTTACTTTGTTGATAGCTGATGGTGAATAGTGCACAAATTAGAATATTTCTCGGCAAACAGCGTATCTTCTCTCCCAGACTGGCATGTGTGTGTGTGTATAAATATATTTGTTTTAGTTATTTATTTTCACACAAAAAACATTTCAAATCTTTTTAACATTGTAAGCTGTGCAGAAATCACAAAAGAGGATGGTCTGTTGTTTCACCCCAAGTTCATTAACTCCTCCACAATTATGCTGCCCTTATTTGGGATGCATAGCTACCACCTAAATGTAGGATAACCCACATTGTTGCTTGTGTAGAGACTATTTTTTTTTTTTTAAGGATACCTAAAAATTAAAACTGTAAATTTCAGTTAGTATCGGTCAATGCCATTTTCATTTTCAGTAGAGCTGTACATACATAAAACTGGGCAGCCAGGCTCTGATAAGAGTAGTTTGTCACACTAAAGCTTTTCTTAGACCGTCACTTATATCTGCGCTATCCTGACAGACAGCGTTTGTTACTTTAGCTTGTGCTCTAAAGTATAGAGGTCAGCAGAGGAAAGCAGACTATGCTTTTAATTTGCTATATTTTAAAGTTTACTAGATAGCACTGACGGTATTTTCGAAAGGAGATTGGTGTTCCTGATGAAGGAACATTACATACAAGCCTAGTCCTTCAACTTCTTGTAATTATGATCTATATATTATTCCAAAATAATTCTTCTCAACAGTTTCATATATCGTATTTTATAATATATGACATACCCATGTATTTTAACTAGACATTTAGAAAAATAAGTAACTAAAACAATCCGTTGAATGTCTTACCTTCTTTAGTTTCTTGCAACCTACTTTGTGTCCCTCCTTGGGCTTTTGCACCCCCCCTTTCTGGTTCTTGCTGTCCCCACTACAGTTTGTTCTCCCACCTCCAGTTGTAGTGTGGGGTTGTCTTCTTTATCCTCTACCTGGTCTGACAGGAAACTGCTGCCAGCGAACAACTTCCTGTCCACTCAGACGATAAGGAAGATCCTCAACTGCGGTCCACAACGCCACACTATACAAAGTGTATGGCGGGACTACTCTTGTCTGCTGCCTTTGCAAACCCTCCCTTTCTAACCCCACCCAGTCTTTCCGTTGCTGTCCAATCACAGACTTCCCAACGCAGGGAGGGTGGGTGGATTAAAATGTGGGTGATTGCTGTAAACATGTATGCAAGGTAGAAACCAAGTGATATTTGTATTAAAACTGAAACATACAGTGAAGCTGTACAATTTGTAATTGAGTATGGTATAATTTTACAATCTGTACTTGAGGAAGTGGGACACCCCAAAATACTTAAGTAAGTTAAATGGTCTTAATAAAATGATACAAGTTCAATGCTAAAGTGACATTGAACAGCTACGTATTAGTATGAATATCACAATACGATACCCTAAGATGCCATCTATTTTTCTTTACCAACATGAATGACTGACAGGCAAAAAAGTAATGTTTCACCCTCTGTACACAATTGGGCCTTGAGTTATCATTTATTTTTATCATGTAGAAAGAGAGCACCTGTTCACAATTTGGTCAAACGGAACAATTCAACTTGATTGTCTTCTGGTTAATTTGTGGTGACAAAATGACAAATATATATGGATTTGTGGATTGGGAAGTTGTCGCCCTTGTTTGTGAGATACTAAAGGAGTGAGATCCATTACTGAGAGGCCTGTGCAGTCCCTCTTCTCGGCGTATCAAAAAATGAAGACACACAGAAGTAAATCAATTCTCAAATATTTGTAAATATCGTAACCATCTATGTTCTTAAGTCTTCTAAGGGGGCTTAATTTCTTTGGATACATACCAATACTGAATAATGAAATCTGATTTAAAATTAGAATATTCAATATAAAAAGGAAGTCCTAGTCTAGGAGATCACAGATCCTTTGCTCCTTGAAATTGATTGGGTGGTTTATTTCCCACACAGAGGAATAGCAAATAGTTCAGTTCTGGATTGTCCTTACTGATGGCATTAGTCTGATCTATACATGCTATAGGTACTCTTTGTAATAGCACACGTAAGCTAAAGCTTGTTTGAGATACGAGCAGGGGAAACTACTGAGCTTTTGTTTGTTGTTAGTGTTCTAATAAAGTATGTTTTGACTTGCTTGCATATGGCTAAGGTTTTCTAGGTCCAAAGGTAATCTAGTGCTGAACCAATTTGTCACTGTGCTTAGAGAGGTATCAGGTACACCTCGTTGATGAGGTCCAAAGATGGCCAAAGCAACCATCTTATTTTGATGTATCTTTTGTGTCAGCCCTTGTTGATGGGACCACTCAGTGGTGAAACTAACTAATAAAGGGCACTGGTGCATCACCCTCCTAATAGTAACATATAAAAGAGCAATGATAAATAAATAGAATACTATTTATTTACTCAACCAAAATAGTGACATGCTGTCAATTCTAAAACAATACAAATAAAAAAAGCTTATATGAATAAAATATCAACACATTTTTTTCTCTCTCACTTTCCTTCATCTATGAAAACATGGAATCAACTTCCTGAATCTTAACACTTAGTGCTTGGTTGGCTCATCTCTTAAAGGGATTCTAGAGACACCAAAACAACATTAGCTTAATGAAGCAGTTTTGGTGTATAAATCATGCATCTGAAAACTCACTATTAAATTATTTGCCATTTAAACAATAAAACACTTTTGTTTCTGTTACTGCAACCTTAGCTACACCTCCACTGGCTGTGACTGACCGCCTGCATGAAAACAAAAACGGTTTCATTTTCAACCAGACAATAACTTGCTTTAGTAGTTTTTCCCCTCTTGTTCTGTAAACTGAACTTTAATCGCACACAGCACACTCCTGCATTGTCTAGGAGGCTATTAACAGAGCAGGAGGTATGTCATTATAGATTAAACAGACTGTGCAATACAGGAACCTAGAATATATAGGTTCATTTTCAGGAAGTTGTTAGGTAGGCTGTGTAAGTCACATGAAGGGAGGTGTGACTAGGGCTAAACAAAGTGATTTAACACCTAAATGGCAGAATATTGAGCAGTGAGACTGCAGGAGCAATATCAATACACAAAAACTGCTTCATTAAGCCAAAGTTGTTTTGGTGGCTATTGAGTCATAGCACACACTATTTTAGAAGATAAAAATAAAATAATCACTTTTTAAAATGTGATTAGATGATTATACAAGTAATTACATGATGGTGAGTGAGTTCACTGACTGCTCACAGATAATCCACATTGCACTTTTCTCTCTCACTCTCTGTGGTTTGGTCTGGACTTAGAATCTGGAGCTATCTGTGAGTGAGCTGAGGTCCCAGTGTTAGCTGCAATGAGTGAGGTCACACTCGAAGTATCTCTGAGGTGGGTTCCTCTCAGTCACTCATGTGCTTCTTAGTCTGCAGGACAGCTCCAAGCATCATCAGATCAGTGTCTTCATCTCACCCGAATCCAGCAATGTTCATCAAAGATGAGAAGTAGTTCATTCTTCCAATTCCTCCCCAGAGCACAATCTATTTATCCCCTGGATCATTTTGATTTACAAATAGTGTAGGTTTCCTCTTTAATGGCACAAATGTGTGAAATCGTGTTTGGACAAAAACTCAGTAACTTGGTCTTCAGTCAATTCCCACACTGTTTTCAGTCTCACTGTTTTCATAAATTCTGTTTTGTCTTCTTTGAAAGAAGACGCTATTCTTTATATACATACATACTTCTAAGTCAAGCT